GGGACACACAAAGGGCGCTTCCATGGAACATTCTATCCCAAACAGGGCAAAAGGGTAGAATGACAAAGGAATAGGTGAGTATAGCTCCTGAAGACATGCCTTCTACTTCCTGGGCTGGGACAACACCCAAGTCACCAGGAAATGTAGTGATCAGTCAGAGCCTCTTGCTCCAGGATGGAAGGCGTGGGTCATTCAGAGTGACCCCACACTCCCTTCTAACCTGGGAAAGGTAGTGCTCACGGGTCCTCGGACCCACCACTATCAACAGTCCTTTCTCTTGTGTGGAAGGCTCTTTCCTAGACCTTCAGAGTTGACCACGTGCCACTCTCTTGGGGAGGTCTCCCCTGGCTCCATCAAAAATTATAGCTCTTCCTTGTGGTCGGCCTGTTTCCCCAATGTATGAGTTTATTGTGGTTCTGGGGATAGAAATTTGAGCCACTCTGTCACTGAGAACATCCCCATCATTTTTTATTTTGCATGGTCTTGCTAAGTTGGCTAAAATGGCCAAGAACATACGATCCTCCTGATTCCGCTGACCCGGTCGCTGGCCTTGCAGTTGTGTGCATGTAGACTGGCCTGCTGTTGCCCAGCAACACTCACTTGGGTGAAGCATGTGTTCTTGTCTCAAATAGAACAAATTTTATTATCTTGAAACCTGCTTCCCCACTCTTCAGTAAAGTCCAGGAGGGCAGGTCTTGTTCACTTTCAGAACAGAACACAGAGCACAGAGCAGATGGTCAATCAATACCTAATAAATTAACAGATGGAGGCCTGGCTTCTACTGACTCCTCAGTAAATGTGAGTTACCACCTTTCTACTCTTCCCCACCTGCCACCATTTACTGGGTAAAGACAGTCCCCTGTGTTGCCACATCCCGGCTGTCCCTAAAGACCCATGTGATCTGCCTGGCAGAGGAATTTCTTTAGGAAGAGCCAGAGCAGCTTCTGCCCCTAAGGGCCAATGTCCTAGGTGAGTGCTGTCCTCTTTCCCAGTCTGGCCTAGCTCTGGGGAGAGGGTGTCCAGTCCAGGCTGGGGCAGCTGAGTCCTTGGCACCCAGGGCCAGGGCTGAAAGGGGCTTGAGAAGTCTCATCTCCTGCCAATGGCACCCTTGGCAGCTCTGAGAAGTCACTGCTTTGGGGAGACCCGATCTGGCTGTGCCAGGTGGGCACTGAGGAGGAAGAGGTTGGCTGGGAATGAGAAGAGCTGAGAAGTGACTCTGGCCCCGGCCTCCCTACCTGCCTCCATCCTATGGCTGCATTTCACCAAGCTCTTATCCCCACAGGAACACTGGACATTCTGGACCCCTGACCCTCAGCCTCCTCAAGTCTTCCCTTCTACTTTTTTTATGCCTCTCCCCCCATCCATCTTGATCTGGACAATTTTTATTTGAGTATAATAGGAAGTTTTGAGTTAGGGGAACTTCTTCTGGTGTTTCTGGGGAATACTGGGTAAAGGAAACAGAAACTGGAGGAGGGGCCTCTGGACCAGCCTCTCCCCTGCCCAGAGGCCTCTCTGCCTGACTTTGTCCAGCTTGGCGCTTAGGACACACTACACTTGGGAGACTCAGGAGACTCCCACTGTGACACAACCTCCCACCTTTAGTGCCCAGCTAGAATGTGGTTGTAATCCACATAGAAAAATGCAGAAGTGGGGAGCTCTCCCTCCATGTGACCCTCTAATCTTCCTGTCCAGCCTCCTCAGCCCAGGGAAAGAAAAGCACCTGTGGGCTGTGCCCCATCAGCCATGAGCCACGCTCCTTGAGGTCCCACAGAAGCCATGAAGCAGGGGTTCCCTTCAGCACTAAAAGGTCCTGGCAACCTGTTCTTTCCAATCCCAGGCTGCCTCAAAACAGCCTTCCTTGCTCTGCTCCACCCCCCATCCCTTGACCCTGCCCACTCAGCACTCTGGACTTGCCCCATGGGCAGAGCCTGCAGTTCTAGAATATCCATGGCTGCTCTGGCCTGGAGCCAGCAGGAAGGTGAATGGCCCTGAACTCCACCTTTCCTCGCGCCTTGCCTCCCTGAACTTGGTCAGTGAGAAGAAGCTGTCTGTGCAAGTCTGTAATCCTTGATCAGGAGGCTGAGGCAAGAGGATCATAAGTTCAAGGCCAGCCTCAGCAAATTAGTGAGACCCTAAGCAACTTAGCAAGACTTCTGTCTCAAAATTGAATATAAAAGAGGGGGTTGGGAATGTAGATCAGTGATAAAGAGAGAGGAGAGAGAGGGAGAGAGAGAGAGAGACAGAGAGAGAGAGAGAGAGA